AAATGTGAGTGAAGGGAGTTCAGCACCTTGCACGATCGGGCCATAAAATGGGATGGGTTGAGGCAGGGAACTCTAAGGAGCAAATTGTGTGGAGTAGCCTTTGCTGAGCACTGCCACGGACCTTCAGCAAAGGCGGTTATGAAAGACCATCGATACATACAGCCCACTGGCTGGTTCTATCTTCCCTCTTCTGCTCCAGAACAGTGAGCAAAGGGTCTCTGCTCAGGGAGCTTGAAAGGCTTCAGCTTTGCCTAGACAGAGAGACTCATTCTTCCCTCCAACCAATTCAATGCAACATATTCACAAAATATTGCAAATTGCTTTCGATCTCCTCTGAAGAATGCTGTTAAGGCAGAAAATTGCCTCTGTCCCTACAAAGCAAAGTTTCTTACTGCTTCCCTACCAGAAATACCATCTCCATGAAGTGGATGAGCTGTTGTTCCCTCTTGCCTTTCGGTTGGGTAATATCCTCATTATATCCAATGTCAAACTGTATTCCCTCTCATACCATATAGAAACACACCCAAACTCGCCTCGCCAGCAACCAAATACCCGAGGTTGGCCTCGGTCCAGTTCTCAGCATCACACATGCTGGCAGCAAAATCTTTCCAACATCAAACTGCAGAAAAAAAAGACAAATTGTTTGATCCTTCAATTTCAATGTCATCCTAGACAAAAAAAGCTCCTGCAGCCTTTACTTTCTTATCAAGTGGTGGGGTGACGGAGATAAGCTGATCCGATGGGGTAAAGAAGAATTTCCTCCCATAGTGTTGCATGACTGTGCAGGTGTTTCACAGGGTGGGCTTAGTAACCATGGCAGACACTGAACTATGCAGTTAAGGTGACTGTCTGAAGGAATGCTGGACTTACTGGATTGTTTCTCTCTTCCAGTATGGCAATTTTAATGGGCCAAGCTCTGTTCTTCGTTGCTTGTGCTTGGCTCCCAGTTAGTTCAATGGGAGCCCCCCACACACATCCAAGAGCAGAATTTGGCCTTAAGTTCCTCTGTGAAAGCTATTTATTACTCAGCAGCCCAGGATCATAGACTTCCATCTCTGATAAAGGCTCCCTTTTATCTACCCTCTCTGCTGCTTCTTCCTACCTGGTTTATTGTTAAAATCTGCAGGCTTCAGAGATCATATCCAGTAACCCCATCCCTCAAAGGCCAGCATGTGTGTAGGAGTCTGAGCTACCCTGTTATAATGACTTTCCCCTTTCCCCTCCACGTCCTTGGTGAAAACTTATTGTTTGGGAACCATGAATCTGAACTAGCAGTGACTTACCCTCCTGTCGTCTTTTCAGCTTAGCAATTTTTTGGCCTTTCAACTGTCTGTTGATCTTGTGAACTACTGACTTTGTCAACATCAACCATATGTCTGGACTTCCCCCAAAATGAAAACTACTGACAGTACTACAAATATGAAGTTCCACACTGTGTAAAATAGAATGATTCGTTTGGTTTTTGCTTTCTCTTATATTCTACTCTTTATATAGAATTTTATGGTGTGTTCATCAGTGTAGTATCTGAATGCCTTCCAGCAATGCATTAAGCCATGTGACTATGCATCTGTCATGTGTTGTTTGTTCTCTCAGCCTCTCCTAGAGGGAGAAACGGGTGCAATGGAGTGTCTTGTTTTGGTAGCGTATGGGTTTATATATATACACACCTGTTACTCTGTGTTTATGTAAGAGAAGGCAAGGTCAAAAAAATGCACCTGGCACTTGGCATGGAAAGTGGTGAGGTTTGCGGAGGTCCTTATTTCCCTGGGGAGTTCATTCCATAATCTCGGAACACCCCCGGAGAAGTCTGTGTCTCCTGCACAGACAAGCTTTACTCTTATTGTTGCCAGCTCCATTGTGCCAAAGGAATGAAGTTGTCGACCGTGGTCTTCATCCCAGAGCTTAGACGATCTTTTAGAGACCTTGGGCCCAGGAAGACATGGAGAGCTTTGAAGTTAAGGACTGAGACCTTGAACTTAATTCAGTGTTCTATGGGAGGCCAGTATAGAGAGCAGAAGCCAGGTTTGATGTGCTCACGGTAGCCGGTGTTGCTGAGGAGGCGCTCTGCAGCATTCTGAACTGGTTGGAGTTTCCTAAGTGCTGACTGCTTCATGCCCAGGTATATCACATTGCTGCAGTCCAGCCGAGAGGTGGTGAAGGCAGGAATAACTGAGGCCAGGTCTTCGTCCGTCAGGATGGGATGGAGTTTCCAACTGTAAGATCTCTTTCCTATAAATCTGCGTTCCCAGGAAAGATCAGAAACTCCAAAATCAGGCACATAAGCACCTGTGTGATTTTGTTTTCATATGTACATCCCAAGTCATTTATTTGAGGAGCTGTGTGACTTACTTGTGTGACCTATATCATCTACGAGCCGTTCTTCATCACACCAGCCTGGCCTGCACAACTCCACGAGTCAGAACTTTTTTGCTCCTACCTCTGTTCCCTCTCTCTTTTTGCCCCCCGCCCCGCTCCACTTTTCTTAATTGGTATACAATGTGTAAATCTATTGCACAGCCAGGTAGTGTAACTTAGGCCCAGTCTACACTACAGCTTTTAACCGAGTTTGTAGTCAGTGACACAACAGCATCATGATGTGGTTTGTGTCTGTATACCATATGGTTAATAAGTTGTGGCAGCCGACAGTGCTTTGCCCGGGTCAGTGTCCTAAGCTGGTTACAGTCTTCCTGTAACCAATTTATCACACCATGTTCTGCAGTATAAATGGGACCCCCTAAATGCCTGTGTAACCAGGTTGGCCATCCCGCCTCCTTTTCAGTTCTCTGTGTGGTAGGACATCCCAGAGTTCAGTGCTCCACGTGTTGCTGGTGCCACTGCTATGCATGTCCTCCAAACACTCTATCCCCTGGTGAGGGACATGGGGATAGCTGCCCAGATTTCCACATGTGGCACTGATACAAACAACCTTCGACAGCCTGGTAGATGTGGATTCTTAATCTTGGTTGGCACATGGGAGTGCTGCAAAGAAAAAACAAACAAAAAAAAAAAAACCTGCTCTGTGGATGCAGCTCAGTCTTATGTGTTGTAATTGGGTCAGATGAGTGTCATGAACCAGTTACAGAACCATGGTTGTACCAGTAGCATAGGCAGGGCACCCAGTTGCTTTCCTCTTTAAATCTGGCTTTAAACCTTCCTTTTCTCTTAGGCGTCTGATTCACACTCTTTGTAAAGTGCTTTGCTAAACTCTGTATGAAAAATATGAAATACAGATATGCTGCTAGTGTATAATGATGTCCTTATCACCAATTTTTTTAAGCAAAACAGTGTTTTTCCTGTCTCTTGAGCTGTATTGCCAGACTCCCTGCTCAGGTTTTCAGTGAAAAACACATTTCACCCTTTTTGACAATCTGAGCTGCTTGGTACCACTGCAATCTACTTCTGGGTGTTTCTCTTAGCATTAAGTCTGAAGTAACAGGAGACACGTTCTGTCCTTCGGTGCTTGTGTGCAATTTCCTTCGAAGTCATGGGGAGGTGCATGCGCACATCTGAGGGCACAATTTGATCCTATGTATTTTTCTTATACTAATCGATACTTTAGAACAGTTGTTCCAATATCTTTGCCACATCACCTAATATTTTATGTAAGTTAAGGAATGAGTGACTATTTCCAGAGCTCATTAAAATGTGCTTAGGAATTAAAGCTTCACTTTCTGTTCTATGCACCATGCAGATATTTTAAATATAGAATTTGAACAATTCACATTTTTAATGTTATGTTTATTTTATATCTACCTGGCTATTTCTGTGGCCTCCATCACTGTAGTATCTGAGCTTCTCACAATCTTTAATGCATTTATTCTTGCAACATCCCTGTGAGGCAAGGAAGTACAGTTATCCCCATTTTACAGGTAGGAACTGAGACCCAGAGGGATTAAGGGCCATAGTCTCTGTTTATGTTAATTGGCCTAGTAGCCCATTAACTTCAGTGAAGCTTCCCCTGTTTTCACCAGCAGAAACTGGCATTTTCAGAAGCATACAGTCCCATTTTCAAAAGCAATTTATGCACTTAGGAGCCAAAGTCCCATTGACTTTCAGTGAGATTTAGGCTTCTAAAGGCCGAAGGACCAGATCTTTAAAGGTATTTAAGTGCCTAAAGATGCCTAGTGGGATTTTCCAAAGCACTTAACTCCCATTGAAACCGGTGGTTGTTAGTCACCTAGGCACTTTTGAAAATCCCACTAGGCGCCTATTTGCATCTTTAAGCACCTTAAAAACCTTTGAAAATAGGACTTAAACTTCTAAGGCACTTAGACATTTTTGAAAATTTACTTGTAAATTACTTGCCCGAGATCACACAGGAAACTTGTGGCAGAGCCAAGAACTGAACCCAGCTGCAAGACTCAGGTTAGTGGCTGAATCATTAGACAATCCTTCCTTGTTTACAGAAGCTAGAGTAACACCAATACGGTAAATACCAGTGAAAAGGATACAAAATTACATCAAAGACATAACTAGAATTAAATTAAGAGATTATATTACAAGCTATAAAACAGCTATCAACATACAAAGCAGGGTCTGTTTTCAGGAGCATTCTCACATTGCAAATGTGTTTATTTAGTAACCTTTGTTCTCCTTAAAAAAAAAAAGAAAGAAAGAAAGAAACCATTTTAAAAAGCCAGCTTATTCATTTTATAGTAAGAATGAATTTTAATAATGAAATTAAATCCATATTTCAGTAGAACTCTGTTTATCTGAAGGGAGCAATTGATATGAAATTTATCTGGATAAAAAAAGGCTTCTGGTAGAGGAGTTTTTCATTTAAGTGATGCATATTGGGAGGGAGCAACAATAAAAAAGTGGATAATGGGGGATTGGCTAAGAAGAATTAATAATTGTAAATCAAATCTTTTGATAGAGCTTTTGGTGACCACAATTTGTTTGCCTTAGAATTGTGCGCTATTGAGGGAACTCTCGGGAATTATTTGAGCTTGTACCTGTTAATCCACAAGCTTATACTTGTATTTATTTCTTTTGTTTAGAATGAAGTGATAAGTCAGCAACTGTCTGTCATTTTCACTCATTGCTATGGACCTTATCCTATTCCAAAGCTTGTTGAAATCAAACGAAAGCAGACCTCTCGTTTAGGTAAGTCTGAGGTGAGGCGCAGATCACAGTGTTCACAGAGAGCTGTCCTAGGATTTGGAGAGAGCAAAAGAAAGGAAAGAGGGCAAACGTTAATGAAAATGATTGAAATAAAGTCAGTCTTTGGGTTTCTAAGCATTGCTGCAAGAACTCTGGCATCAGAAATGTGATTTCAGTTTGAATGCTCTGGAGCCGCTGCATTCTTCTATATACTAGGCAGTCGTTATGGCCAGAAGACAGAGCACACCTAACTGTAAAATGCAGAATTGGAAAAACTAGTCTAGGGGCTCAATCCTGCATTTCTTACTCACCTCAAATTTCCATTGAAATCGACAGGTGTCTTGGATGCCCAGGATTGGGCCTGTAGTTTTGCAAGTTACTTTGGGGTCTGATTCCTTTACACTCAGGCCACACAGCCAGAGTAGTGTCAAAGGGCCTTAATGTACATGAGAATCGGGGCCCTTGTGTCTGCTTAGGTACAGATGTCACTAGGTACAGAGGGAGAACAGGACTAGGGAGCTGTTCAAAGTTCACCCAAAGTCTAGAATGACCTGCATGTGATGGATGGCTGTTATCTTGTATGAGATAAAAATGACTGTCAGAGTTTTTGAATTGACTTGGTATAGATTCTGTTAGAATATGTACATATCTTCCACCTCAGACTATTCAAACCAGCTTCACAGGCTTTTCTCATTTAAAAACATATCCCCTTAAGCCATTGTCTTTTCTCACAAAAACAGGAAAATGCTTTCTATACATTTCACCTGTTCCCGACTGAAGTTTTTCTTTTCCTTTTGTGATTCCAGATCCCCATTTTCTTAACAATAAAGAGATGTCAGATGTTACATTTCTGGTGGAAGGAAGACCATTTTATGCACATCGAGTGTTACTATTTACTGCATCCCCAAGGTAAATGTACAGGTGTATTTTTTTAATAAATGCAAATAATTTGATCTTTTCTGTTGAGATTTGTTGGCACTAATGATTCAGGTAATGGGCTTCAGACTTTTCTGTGAACGTGGAAATTCTGTAATTACCCCCAGAACTGAGTGCTGTTGATCTATGTTAAGGATGTAACAACTAAGAATGCCATTTGTTCATTAACCCTTAGGATGCTGGGCATTCCAGAGGCACCTACGGTATACGGTATGGTGGTGGACACATTCAAAATGCGTCGACAAATACACGTTTTATACTTTCAGGAATGTCCATTTTTTTAAGGCTTGGGGGAACCTGTGGATGGAGGGAGGATCTCTGGGAAGAGGAGGAAGTTCCAGGTTGGAATTCCTGGGTGGAGCCATTCCCATCATATGTGCCCCACTTCTGGAAATCTCCTCTTCTTCCACCGCCTATATAGGTGGCTTGCCTTGCCAGATCCCTCCCCTTGCTTCACACATAAGAAAAACTGACATGGAGCCTGTAGCAGTTCCATGCTGAAAGGCTGTCCAGCAGGGAGATAAGTCATGTGGATATCAGGAGACAGCACCCACTTGCAGAGGGTTGGGGTTCTTGCATGGAAATTGGGGGAACAAGGAAGAGCTAAGTGGGAGAAGGTCTCTTTTGAGAAAAGGGAAGGAGGTTCTATGGGTTCACTTTTGAAAAAGGTTGGGGATGAAATTCTGGTCCTGTTAAAGACAATGGTAAAACTCCCATTGGCTTCAGTGAGGCAGGATTTCATCGCCAGTATCTATGATGAATCCAGCCCATTGTCTTAACCACGCATTGGGTGGAAGGTTTGGGTTACAGCTTCGGAGAGTGGGAAAATCTTTTGCTTGTCTATTATACTTTCCAACTCTTGAGAGAAAAATAGTGGCACTTGAAGTCCAAACATGCAAGTATCCCTTGGAGAGCAGGGAGGAGCTGGGGTTAAGGTACTCCTCAACCCCTCCCTCCCCCCAAAATTGAATTACACTTCTACCTCGGAATACGCTGTCCTTGGGAGCCAAATAATCTTACCGCGTTATAGGTGAAACCGCATTATATTGAATTTGCTTTGATCCACCGGAGTGCGCAGCCCCGCCCCCCCCGGAGCACTGCTTTACCACGTTATATCAGAATTCATGTTATATCGGGTCGCGTTATATCGAGGTAGCAGTGTATTAACCTAGGATACAATTTCCTGCTATCTAGAAAACACACCTTTAAATGTAGATACCTAAAAACAAGTATAAGGAACCTGGTACACTTACCTGGAGCTGGATTTACAAAGAAAATATAATTGAGAGGGTATCTGTGTATATCACCCTTCTCAGATAAAATTTTGTAGACTGCCATTTCATGATTCTCAGCTTTCTTTTCTTGTATGTGGAGGAGATAATTATTTGGCTGTCAACGCCTAATTAAAATACTCCATTCACACACACACACACACACACACTGTTTCAGCCCTAATACAGCAATCAATCAAGAAATTACATTGTCTGCCATGGATTAGCGTTGAGAAGGAAGATAGGCATATAAGAGAATGCTGTGAGTCATGAAATAAAATGTCAAGAGTAAAAAGGATATCCTGAATATTGTGAGATGCAACAAAGGCAAAAAACATAGCAAACAAGAGGACTCAGTGACACAGAGAACTGGTAATGCAGGGCCTTTCAGCTCGAAGGTACGGGCTTGAATATAGCCAGTGCAGATTGTGAATGAAAGCATTTATTATCTGTTGGCTGGTTGTGATTTGAGTGGTGGTCTCAGACTAGTTTTAAGTGGAGATGTGTCCCTGATAACAAAAAGCACCAGCACAAGCTACCAGACTTAGCAGAGGTACGTTGAAAAGGCAGTCCTTCGAAAACAAAGGTATGACTCATTGGGAACATTGCACATTTGCTGTCCTTGCTTAGCTGCCCTGTGCATGAAGGTGTGCATTCAGGCCCTGATTCAGGAAAGCATTTAGACCCTTGCTTAAGTCTGTCCCTTGTCGAGGCCAATGCTTATGTGTTGCCCTGAGTAGAAATGTTTTCCTGAATCAGGGCCAAAAAGAGGTCTTCAGTTTCTAAGGGTGTCAATCCCAATCTAGTAATTTAAACATTTTTAAAAGCTAAAATCCTAGATTTATACGTAAATATCTACATATCTGTATAAATATCACATACAAGTACAATTAACTTAAATGAATTCTACTCTGCTTTTATGTCCAAATCTATGGTTGAAATGAGAATTTTAACATTCTGAGAACAGCGATATATCCAATTCTTTCTCTCCCCATCTCCAAACAATTGAATTAAACCTGCATTATAGTATTAAACTTCTTTGTGTAGAATCGTCAACATTTTGCCCTGGCCATCTTGCAAGCCAGCACAATGGAGATGTGAGAAGGGAAAAAAAGCTGCAAATATTTAAAATGCAAGCTGATATCAATCCAAAAAGAAATGTTGAATTTTTAAAAGTTGCAGGTTTTACTCAAAAATGGCCCTATCTTCAAGCAAAGAAACAGTCAGTCCTGATCCTGTAATAAGTTCCAAGTGGGTACAGCATCTATATTTTCTAGGTAGGTTTTTTCACAAAATTAGACACATTTTCCAGAAACTCAGAATGAAATGTCCTAATAAAAGAGGTTTCCTAATTTCACTTTGAATTTGATGACATACCTTTAAGGGGGTGTCTGCACGGCAATCAAAGATATGATTGTAGTTCAAGCAGGCATACCCGTGCTCGCTTTCATCTAGCTAGCTCGGCTAAAAATAGCAATGAAGGTGGAGCAGCATGGGCTGTACAAGCCTGCCCACAAGCTGGGTATGAACTCGCATTGCTAGCCTGCATGGGGGTCCACGCTGCCGTGTCTTCACTGCTATTTTGAGAGTTGTGCTAACTAGATTAAAGCTAGCATGGGTAATCCGTGCTGCAGTGCTGTATGCTGAGCTGCAATCATGCTTCCAATTACGGTGTAGACATACCCTCTACAGTATATAAACCATCATATATTTCAGGTTATAAATCCCGCTAAGCTTCTCTGCATTCTAACGTCCTGTTTTCATAGTAATTGATGGTCACCTCCCTTACCTTTTTGCTGAAATATAGCAAAGTGGAATTGTAGTGTGGTATTTCAATCTTGCTCATTTTTATTTAGGTTTAAAGCGCTGCTATCTAGCAAACCCTCAGCTGAGAACACTTGTATTGAGATCAGCTATGTGAAGTACCCCATATTTCAGGTAAAGTCTGTGGCCACAAACCATCCGAATGGAATGTGTGACATCAACAGTTGTATGTATTCTGCACAAATTAATGCAATTACATTTAGTAAATTAATCATATCATACCTTAGAGCAGTGGTTTCATAAGCAAAGGCCTCAACTCCCTTTATATAGTAACCTGCATTATAGTGCTGATTGTAGTCAAATAACATGTGAGTGACTAGATTTAACTATGTACATTTCACTTCTATTGTCTTTGAAGACAGAGCAGGGCATTTCAGTGGAACATTTGCATAGACTTTTGGGTTTTTTTTTTCTCATGTTTGATATTCCTGCATTTGCACACACAAGCTTGGAGGATGTAGAGGCCTTTCTTTTCCTAGCAATATTTGTTTACTCAAATTTTGTAATTCCTTCTGTGAAAATGTAGAGCCAAACTTATCTGTCTCGCCTATTGGGCTAGATGCAGTGTATTCAAAAACTTGCATGTCTAAGAAAAGTTTATTTTAACCAGAGCAATAACAGTTCCATTTACTGATTGTTAGAGCTGCAGATATTTTTCAGTGTTCAGAGTATTCTCACACTTCTTATCAAACTGTCTTTTACTGGGCTATCTTGATTATCACTTCAAAAGTTTTTTTTCTCTTACTTAATTGGCCTCTCAGAGTTGGTAAGACAACTCCCACCTGTGCATGCTCTCTGTATGTGTGTATATATAGCTCCTCAATATATGTTCCATTCTATATGCATCCGAAGAAGTGGGCTGTAGCCCACGAAAGCTTATGCTCTAATAAATTTGTTAGTCTCTAAGGTGCCACAAGTACTCCTGATATTTTTCAGTGTCACTTACAGCTGCCTGCAATAACATTTAAACTTAATCTAAGTTTCCTGAAAAGAAATATTATTTGGCCCATGTTACAATGCAAAACCCCAGCACAAACCTTCTCACCAACCATGCTTGCCTACAGAAGTGTGGAAAGGAGGGGGTGTGGTTTCCCAGAAAGGGAAGGAATCAGGGAACAGCCACTATATGTGGCATGTTTCAGAGTAGCAGCCGTGTTAGTCTGTATCCGCAAAAAGAACAGGAGTACTTGTGGCACCTTAGAGACTAAAAAATAATAAATTTGTTAGTCTCTAAGGTGCCACAAGTACTCCTGTTCTATATGTGGCATGTTCTCCTGAATAAGTGGTGTAAAAACAGTATCAGAAAATGAATGAGCCAGGATCAACTTGTCCTGTGAGCTACCTGAACCTCTTTGGAGAGTTACAGCACCGTGGCTAATAGGGATTGGGAGAGAAGCCATGCTACCCGTGAAGAGAAGCCAAGAACTGTGCAGAGACAGAGAAGATGTTCATGTATGGCCTGACACCTGCAGGTTTTTGACCGGTTTGACTGACAAATCCGTAGCCCTGCACATTGTTTGGTAGCCACACACGCCTTCTCCCATCACATCATTCTCATGATGAAAGTTAAAAATGCTGCTCACGAGTAGCTTTTCCAAAGTGGCTTATTTTTCATAGTAACCTCTTCCCTTTCATGTGTTTTACTCAAGCGGGAATGATATGGTTCTATGAGCCTCACCATGTTACACTAATGACAATGACCGCTGAAGCAAAGGGAGGCAGGATAGTGAAAGGCAGTAACATACACTAACTCCTCACTTAACATTGTAGTTATGTTCCTGAAAAATGCAACTTTAAGCAAAATGATGTTAATGTGAATCCAATTTCCCCATAAGAATTAATGTAAATAGGAGGGGTTAGGTTCCAGGGGGGAAATTTTCACCAGACAAAAGACTATATATACATAGATAGATGGATACACACACACACAGTATAAGTTTTAAACAAACAATTTAATACTATACACAGCAATGATGATTGTGAAGGTTGGTTGAGGTGGTGAAGTTAGAGGGTGGATGAGGGTGGGATATTTCCCAAGGAATGCCTTACTGCTAAATGATAAACTAGCTGATCCCTCAAGGGTTAAAACATTGTTGTTAATGTAGCCTCACACTAGGGTTACCATATTGCAGTCCTGGAAAAAGAGGACACTCCAAGGGACCCCGGCCCCGCCCCAACTCCGCCCTGTCCCCTGAACGCTCCGCCCCCCTGCTCCTCCCCCTCCCCTGCTTCCCGCGAATCAAATGTTCGCGGGAAGCCTGAAACAGGCAGGCAGGCAGGCAGCAGGTAAGCTGGGGCGGCGGGAGCGGCGGCAAGCTTTGCCTGCAGAGAAGCTGACTATGGAGGTTGCGGGGGGAGCTATGGTGCTGAGCACCCCCTTCGCCGGACCCCCCCAGGCGGGGGGTGAGGTGACACCCCCATGTGCCCCGGGCCGGGCCGAGCCCGGGTCCGTGTCCCTTTAAGAGCGGGGCCAGGCTGAGCCGAGCCGGCAGCGGGAGGCTCCGCTCCCCGCTGCAGGCTGATGCCGGAGCCTGGGCTGAGAGCCCCGCTTGTCTCCTGCACCAGCTCCGGGCGGGGCTTTGCTGCGGCTCCCCCAGTCCCCCAGGGCCGGGCTGCCCCACGGTAGGGGCGGGTTGCTTGAGGCAGGGCAGGACCCGGTGGCGCCGAGGGCTGAACTGGCCCGGCAGGGCAGTGCGGGGGCTGCTGGAGGGGGAAGCTGGGGTAGGGGTGGCACGGCCTCAACCCCCTGGGGCTGCCTGCCCCACGGAGGAGGCAGAGGGGCGCAAGCTGCAGCAGGACCCCAAACCCCCGGGGGAGGGGATCTGGGGCCAGCCTGGGGAGGCAGGAGCAGCCCCGGGGGTGCTGGGCGCATGCAGGGCAGAGCCCCGGGAGAGCCCCAGCCCCGCAGTGGGCAGTGCTGCAGAGGAGCCCGCGCCCCTCGGTGGGCAAGGGGAGCCCCAGGCAGGGGGAGCCAGGCCGCCCGCACCCACCTCTCGCGGCCGCTCCATGCTGCTCCCGGTACCGCTTTCCGCCAGCTCGGCTGCCCTGTCAGCCGCTTTTGGGTCTTTAAATAGCCGTCCAGGGGGAAATCCCGGACATTTTTAGCTTTTTACAAATTCCCCCCGGACGGCTATTTAAAGACCCAAAAGCCGACATGTCCGGGGAAACCCGGACATATGGTAACCCTACCTCACACTCTACAAGGCAGCATAAATGGAGGGAGGGGAGACAGCATGGCAGACAGAGACACACTGTGTGTGTGAGAGAGAGAGAGATGCGCATTGCCCCTTTAAGTAAGCTGACCCCATTCTAAGTACATTGCCTTTTTAAGTAGATCAGCAAGTTGAGACAGCAGCTGCTGCCAACAAGCTGCCGTCCTGAGCTCTGTCGTGTCCCCCCCGCTCTATAAAGGTGGGGTAAGTGGGGGGGCAGGAGCAGGGGGGAGGGAGACACCCTGACATTAGCCCCCCACTTCCCCACACAGCAAGACGGAGGCTCCCGGGAGCAGCTCCACGGCAGAGGGCAGGAGCAGCACATGGCAGTGGGGGGAGGGACAGCTGAACTGCCGGCAATTGATAGCCTGCTGGGCAGCTGCGGCACAGGGAACTTAGGGGAGCGGGGAGCTGATAGGGGGGCTGCCGATCCACCCTGGTTCCAAGCCCCCATCAGCTAACTGCAACGGGCTGCTCTTCCTGCAAGCAGTGGACAAAGCAGGCGGCTGCCAAACACTGTTATAAGGGAGCATTGCACAACTTTAAACGCGCATTTTCTCTAATTGATCAGCAATGTAACAACAAAACAACGTTAACTGGGATGACTTTAAGTGAGGAGTTACTGTATGTAGTGAACATTTGTTGTCTGGGATTGCTTTTCATAAGCAAACAGTCTCTTTGTTTTGTTTCAGCTGGTTATGCAGTATCTTTACTATGGCGGTGCAGAATCACTCCTAATTAAGAATAATGAAATAATGGAGGTAAGAAATATTTTACTTCATTCCGATGGGAGTTACAATAAGTGATCTCTCCAGTGTTCACATAGCTGCACATGGAAATGGTCTCTATCAAGTGTTGGCAAAGAACTCTTCACCAGGTGGTTTAGTTTTCCCCATGTCTACAGTGGCATCTGTCTGCACTTTTTGAGGAAAGGAATGAAAACCTGCTTTCATTTCTTCCTCCAGTCTCAGACTATCTCTCCACCACTTCTTCCTGCTTCCCTGAGTTCATAGTCGATCCTCACTGAGGTGCCACCACTGTGAATACCCAGCTTGCTGCCTCCACCCCCAATTCCAGTTAACGTAAATAAAAGTAGGTTTTATTGGACATAGGACAGAAAAGAGAAAGAAAAATCCCAAAGCAAAAGATAATTTGAACTAAAACATCTGGCCAGACACTCTGAGAAACTCTTCTAGTAGAGCAAAAAGCTTGTGTTACAAAATATGGAAATATTCCCCTCACCATGGTACAACAGCCTCATTCCTTTAGTCTTAATAGGATGTCTCTTGCCGCTAAATCAGTCTATTCCCCTTTCCAAGCTGTGTCTCTGGGGTTGTTAGCTAGGAGTCAGATGTCCAGAAAATCAGAATAATCTCATGTGTAGTTCCTCATTCAGGAAGATATGAAAGCATATGCCTAACTTTAAGCATGTGAGTAGTTCCATTGAAGTCAAAGTTCAGCTTCAAGTAGCCATATGCTTAACTGTGTTGCTGAATTGGACCTTAAACTGCCTCCTGAGATGGAGGGAAGGGGGAATCTTTTTTTATCCCAAAAGCTTATCCTCCTGTCCAAGGAGTCCAGTTACACTTTGTCATCTTCCCCCTCATCCTCACCCCAATCAAATGTGCATAACTGTATGGATTTTAAGTGATCTCCTTCCAAAATTCTGTGCATTGTCAACCATTGTTCAACCAAGTGGCTCCCAATAAAACACAAATAAAGGCATGTTTGGGCAAATTCCTCGCCAGTCTGAGCTGGAAGCGTTCATATCCACAGCATTCAGGTTATATCAGGTAAAACTAATATAGAACACTAAATATTAAAATCACTGATATTTATACAGCTGGTAAAAATCATAGTGCACAGATTATATAGAATCTGCCACTACGTTATTGTGCAGTGTGAGACACCCAAGCAAGGGTGAGTTTTGACAGAGATAGCGCTACCAGAAACTAGCAGCAATTGGGTATGATTGGCCAATGAGAGTCTATTTTGGTGGGTATCGTAACCCTTATAATAATCCTGCTGAGGAAGTTTTGGAGGGGGGAGTATTTGTATAAGTAGACAAAACTGGAATTAGTCCTCTCCAGTTCGGTGCAGTTTTAACTAAGCTCACTTGAATTAACTTCCTTTCTCTTACTAAAACCAGCTATTTTTCAAATTTATTCCCACAACTTTGCAAAGAGGCCTATAAACCCTAACCCTTCCTGCGAAAAGTGTTCTCAAACTAGATAGGTCCACAGCTTTACACATATAGATCTATACACATAAGCAACCAGGTAACACCCCATACCTCTTTCTGAATCGAGACTCTCTCTCTCTCTCTCTCTGTATATATATATATATGTATAGACCTCCCCAACAGTTGACTTATATGGGTGTCCAAGTCCGGCACGTGGCCCCCTCTGAGGGCATTCCCATGGGCTTGACTGTCAAATATGGCAGCTGTGTTGGACAAAAGGGGGGAGGGGGTTGAACAGCCTTGTAAAGACTATGCAGCTGCCTAAGAGAAGGCTCCTAATCCCTCAGGATTCCCTTTGTTTCCTGTGGTTTAAGAGCCCTTGTGGACCACAAGTCTGACTCCTTGAGCCACGGTGGCAGCTGGAGCCTGGATACGGCCCTAGTTTTCTAAAGTTATATTTAGCAACTTGCTTTATTATAAATGTTGTAACAAGAAGCACAGGAAATACTGAAATCTTTGCTGCGATTCATAATTGGGGCCAGCTGGCTGCTGTCACATCAGCATTGCAGATTTTCCAGATTTGGGATTTATTTAGGGGATTAGACTAGAGCTGGAGGTGAGTGGATGGACAGGGCCAGAACAACTTTCTAACAGTTTTTTCCTAACAGCCCTGGCTTGCAGTGTGAGGGCACTGTTGGGTTCCACTGAGCAGCACTTTGTTGGGTATTCCCAGTGATAAGTGCTATGTAAATGCCTAAAGATAGAGCTCCCAGCTCAACCTGATATATGTGTATTGATCAGAGCAAACTGCGTAGCGCTGAAGAACCCCTGCTTACCTTCTAAGCAAGAGAGGAGGGGCAATGGGACCACATTTGGAAGGAGAAAAAGTAGAGCAGGAGCTCTTTCACCAGCCAGACAGCAAGGAAAAGAGGCAGCAGGTGAAATCCTGACCCCATAAAAGTCAGTGGCAAAACTCTTGTGGACTTCTGTGGAACCAGGATTTCACCCAGCAGAGCTTGTTGTCTCCCCCCAGCCAGAAGAGGGATTGGGTGGAGCTCTGCCTGCACTACCCTCTTCCACCAGCTGAGAGAAGAGGTTTGAACCCACTTGGTTTTGTAGATTTTAAGGCCAGTAGGGACTATTGCAATGGTCTAATCTGACCACATGCATAACACCTGCCATAGGTTTTCAACCTGTAATTCCTGCATCAACCCATAACTTCTGTTTGTGCTATTGCAAAAAGCAGGGTTGAACCCTGGCTATTTGTTTCTAACGTGTAGCTGTGCAGATTCTTCCATTCAGAGTCACATTTTTGGAAGGGCTGTAGGCTCTCATGGTTATGCTGCTTCCTCGATAGTGCCGTGAGGTCAGGGGAACTTATACACTTCTGTCCCCGCATCCCAAAAATGGCAGCATCTGGATCTGAGTGCTCTGTTTTCCACTCATCACTTACCGACAGCTGCTCATCATAGTCTGAGCTGTTATGTTATTTCCTTTTGTAACACTGAAAAGGGTAAAATCAGCAAAAGAACTTTTTCTTATTATGGCAGTGAAATGACTGATAAATTAAATGAAACTTAATTAATTATAGGTCTGTGTATAAATGTAATAAAGTAGCAAGGAAATGATACTGTTTAATACTGCCCTGTTCAGCGCTTCTAACACTTTTTTTTCTCTGCTGTTTAGCTTCTCTCTGCTGCTAAATTCTTCCAGCTTGAAGCTTTGCAACGACACTGTGAGATCATCTGTGCAAAAAGTATAAACACAGAAAGTTGTGTGGATATTTATAATCATGCCAAGGTAAGACACCTGTATGCGTGCGCATGCGTGTCTCTCTACACCTCCAGTGTGTGACGTTCATATGTATCACATGCTTGTGTAATTTGTCACAAAGCTATGACCTCATCATCTGTCCCAATAGGCCATCTCGCTGGGACTTATTGTAACATTCCATACCCCTAAGCCAGGGATGGCCAACCTGAGCCTGAGAAGGAGCCAGAATTTACCAATGTACATTGCCAAAGAGCCAGAGTAATACGTCAGCAGCCCCCCATCAGCACCCCACTCCCAGCGCCTCCCACCCACTGGCAGCCCTGCCGATCAGCACCTCCCCCGCACCTCCCGATCAGCTGTTTTGTGGCGTGCAGGAGGCTCTGGGTGGGGGAGGGGAAGGATCGAGGGCATGGCAGGGGAGGGGGCGGGAAGGGGTGGAGGGGGGGCAGGGCCTGTGGCAGAGCCAGGGGTTGAGCAGTGAGCACCCCCCAGCACATTGGAAAGCTGGCGCCTGTAGCTCCAGCCCCGGAGTCGGTGCCTATACAAGGAGCCGCATATTAACTTCTGAAGAGCCACGTGTGGGTCCGGAGCCACAGGTTGGCCACCCCTGCCCTAAGCCATTTCAAACAGTTGCCTTTAAAAAAAAGTAAACTTGCCTTCCTTCCTCTCGCAAATGGGGATATTCCCACTAACATTACCCTCACTGGAGGTTCAGGATGAGTGATTCTCGGCCTTAGTAGCTGACAGCTTTTCTGTATCTAAAAATGACACATTGTCAAAGTCTAATGTCTTACAGCCCTGCAGGGATAGTAGTGAGACTTTTATACCATTGGAGAGGGAAAATGCCCAGCTTCCCAATGGAATCCAGTATTCCATAGTCCTCCCAGTGGTCCTGAATTATAGGACATTAAAGCATGACATTTTTAGACTTAAAAAAACAACTTTAGGTCATTTGGGGGAGTGTTTTACATTTCTCAGTTTTATTTTTTCCTCTCCTTTTGTGTATTTTATAGTGGAACTCACATTAACTAAGGCTTGGCAGGTGAAAGGATACAAAAATAGTCCCAATAAAAATACGTTACAAGTATTCCTAAAATTATTTTTCTGTAAGATGTGGCACATACACAAGATTTAATGGTGTGGTGTGACCTGGGGATTTGATCAGCACTCATTTGAGGTGATCCACAGCACAGGCCATTCCCAACTCCTGCTGATCAAATCTCCATTTCTCACAATCATGTATTCCCTACAGATAATGCTATGCACTGGTGTGCCATCAGCTTTTGAAATAGGAAAACATTTCATTCCTGAAAATGAGTTATATATGAAGTGTATCTAGAGGCCTGTCTTTTGTGATAGAAACAAATGAAGGAACAGAAGCATCCTCCACTTGGAAAGGCACTTGATTTATTTCCCAGCTTGTGAGAGAGACAACTTCTGGATTTAGCAGGGGTTTTTAATCCTAGATAAAAAGAATCATTTCAATTTTGATTTCAGCTCTTGGGCCTTTTCTTCTAAAGTGAGATAAGCTACACTGGATTTTTTTGTCTCTCTAGGCCCCAATTCAGCAGTGCACTTAAGCATGTGAGTAACCCTATTGAAGGCAAGGTTAGGCACATGCTGAATCTGGGCCCTAGTTCACTTCTGTGGGCCAGATCCAGCAAGTGCTCAATGCATGGAGCTGTCGCTGAATTCTGGCAGTTGAAGGTGTGTCTACATGGTAGACTTCTGAGACCAAGACCCTTCACTTCAGACTTGATGATCTGTAAATTGTTAAATTGTTCACATTTCATTCTATTCAATTCTTCTCACCCTACTCAGAATGCAGGTTTTACAAGCAGCCTCCATTTCTTGTCTTCTGCTGGCATACAACGTCCCCATATCACAGTGCATTAGTTAACTCTGTGGCATGGGTTAGTGTTATATTCTGAATATTCAGTTCATTTAGATGGTTGCTGAGGACTTTCCATTCCTGTGATTGTAAAGGACCCTAGGAAGAAATGGTCATTTGATTAGCATAGCTTTCAAGTTTTCATTTTTACTCAAGGTTCTCTTTACTGTGTGTTCTCGCCAGAGAAAAGCCATGTGATTTGGCAAATTGCATTGGTGACACTGGTTGATTAGTTTCTACAAGGTACCAGTCATGCTTTCCATGCATATCCCAAACTTCCAGTGAGGTCAATAGGAGTTTTGAGAGTACACATAATACTCAGCACTTCCCCAACATGCCGGCTGGGGATCAGATGAACAATAAGAAAGAAAAGAAAACTATATTATTTCCTCACTGCAATGTACTGCATATTGAAATAGTGAGTAAAGAGAATGGAAGGAGGAGTAAAGAAGAATGGAGTGAAATCTTAAGAGAACAGTATAAATCCACCAAAGAAAAGTAATCCAATCTCTGATCCAGATCCTCAGATGGTGTAAATTAACCCAACTCCCTGACTTCAATGGAGCTACTTCAGTTTACACCAGCTGAGCATCTGACCTTCCAAATCCAAAATAATGCTCTCCTTTAGAAAGCTCCTAACCTGCCGTGAACTGTCCCATTTTTTTGTAGACAACATTTGTGTCATCCACAGATTATGTTAATTTAGTGGTGGGCCTGTACTATTGACCCTACTTTCTAGACTCTGCAAACAGAGTAAAGATCCCAAGGCTAAAGATAGGAAAAGCCATCTACAGTTATGGGTTGCATAGGCCTCCATCCACTAGCAAGTCCAAAGCTTTCCATTTGTTCTCAGAGCTCAAACACACCAGGAGTTTGCCCAGGCTGGTGGATCCATGGAGCACTTTTCTGTATACTTTGCAGAACACGCTCAGGGCCTAGTCCTTGACTGGAATGCTCAGGGCTACTACTTGCATAAAATCAGGATCAGGCCATTTGCTCACTACTTCTTATGAGGCAACTGCTACTTCCTGTGCTCTAGTGGATCACTTAGCGCTTGCTTACTCGCAAGCAAGATGGGATACATTGAGTGTAAAGGAATGTAGTGGTCCCAAAAACAACATACTTCACATGCTGTACACATAGCAGCCATTTTCCAACTGGAGTTATTTCACCCCAGGCCAAGAGTACATATCTTTATGCAGTTACTTCTGATGGTGGTGCCGGTCAGGTGTATCATGCTTGGCAGGAATGCTGGGAGACAGTGTTGATAGACCTGGCCTCTGGTAGATCTCCCCAAATCTACTGGTTTTGGTGGTGGAAACTATGGGGCCAAATCCTGGCCCCATTGAGATCCATGACAAAAATCCCATTGATTTGTATGGGGCCTGAATTTCATCCTTGGAATTTTGCCTCCAAGGTGACCTTAATTTTTTGACATAGTCTTAAGTCTGGAATTTGTCATTGAAGCAAACAATGTGACATATCACTTGACACACACATATATGTGGGTTTCAATGTTCCCATCTGAAAAACATAGCTTGTATAGTTTGTAATCTTTACTTCTCATGAACGGTATTTATTGACCCATACCTATCAGAGTGGTTACCTTTCTTTAATCCCCACTTTTTGTAGTTTCTCGGAGTCACAGAACTATCCTCCTATTGTGAAGGCTACTTTCTAAAAAATATGATGGTCCTCATTGAAAATGAAGCTTTCAAACAGCTGTTGTATGACAAGAATGGAGACACGTCTGGTCAGAATGTACTACAAGACTTACAGAGGACGTTGGCGACACGGATTCAGTCAATTCATTTGTCTTCTTCAAAGGGCTCCGTTGTATAAAGTTCAGGAAGGAGATCGCGCTCAGAAAAGACACTGCGAGTTCAGGCTCCTGTTGCAGTTGCTTAAATGAACATACAAAATTCTACTTCACATTGGAATATTTTTTTTTTGTTGGCCAAAGGTGCTGCTTTTAGGCTGCAGCCTCACTTAGATGAGGGAATACTGTACATGTGGCTCCTACCCATTTTTGAGAAACAAGGATATAGCACTATTCTGTGAATTACTGTTATGTTCAATTCTGAACGCAAAAGTGTGGTCTTGGAGCTAATGCCAACAAAAGCCAGAACTCACCAATGAACAGCAGAAGCCTCTGCCTGAACAAAGATGCCATGGACCACTTAAAATGACAAATGGGTTATTTAAGGTTATTCTGCTCCACCATGTTATACATTTAAGAACTGTACTGTACCTATCCCAGAGTCCATTCTATTGTGCATTTAAGAAACATAAGATTTGTTAGTTGCTGTTTCATAAGGGTCAACTGTGTTAGAGAGTTGGTAAGACTGTTATAAATGAGGAAATATACTGGCAAATTTTTAGGGGTGGGAACTTTTTAAAATTGTTCATAACAAATGGGGTGGCCTTGTAGTTTAAAATCTATTTCTTAAGCTTAAAAATTCATTTTTGACAGAGTTGTGTTTGCGAATCTATGTAACATGTTTTGTTTTTTAAAGGCACACTGTGTAAATACTGTATACATATGAGCAGGTTTTGCTTGTATTCTTTCCTAAGGTGGTATAATCTTGCCTAAATGGTTATGGTTACACCAAAGAGGTATATTACCAAGACAATATCTAATACAGTAGTTGGGGAATAAAAATCTGCATGCTAATTGTGATTTGGGGTTAAAAACAATAACAAACTCAACATGCATTTGCATGGTAACTGTACCTGTGAAATGTTATGTTTGTGCTTTGTTTTGCCAAGACTGCTTGTCAAACTCCATTTGTGAAATTAGCATATTTACTTTTTTTTCTTGGTGCAAATGGTAGTGAGATGATTCCCACAGAGACTTGTTGGAAGATGCTGATTTCTGTTTGTTACATGGAAGAGTTAAGATCAGCCTTTATTCTAGTAACATGTCAATATTTCGCTACTGGCCAGAGATTGTGACTAAGTTAGACTTTTTTAAATTATTATTAAATATGTACTATAGAATAATTTCTTACTGTATCCTCTGAATGTATAGATTATCTACAATGGAGGTGTTCAATGTCAGGGCTCAATTTATTTTGCAGCATACTGTTAGCAAGAGAGATCTGTTAAGTGCCACAATTTTCCAGACATCTTGTACTTGATGATACCTTTCACGAATCGGTTGATTTAAAACATAGGGAAGACCTCAGTAAAGATTAGGAGAAAGGCGCTACCTTTTCAGTGGCAAAATTACATGTATTTCTTTTCTAGCATGCTTTTTGAAACTGTGCCCGGTTCACAGATTTTTAGAAGCTTTAATTTGACAGTGCATGGTAACTTCTTGTTCTTTTGTTAGAGTATTTATGTCCGGTGCTATTTCATGTTTATAGCTTTTGGAATGCTCAGAAAACACAGTCTTTGCATTAGTTACCAACATGATAGGAAACTGTTTTATTGTTCTGATCTGTAAATCCTCCCGTATGCTTGATCATTTTAAAGCCTATACAGTATCTGCAACAAATTACAAAATTGTCTAAACTACCATTAATGTCTCAGAGACACAGCATGTCAGCCTAACAATGAATTATCAGACAATTTGTTTCTGCATATGATATGCCATATAAGATGTTGTCTAGATCATTTAGCTACTGGCGACTTACTTTTCTGTGAATGTTGCAATGCTAGAGAACCTGATAAATGCAATTGCAACTCTTGGGGGTGCTTATATTATAGTTTGGTGTGCTTCCTCACTCATTGAAACCCATTCTTCCATATTGGTAACAATCTACATAATAAAAACAAATCTCACCCAGCTGCTTAATGTTAACTTCTCTAAATATAAAATTATAATGCTCCAGATTTTTACCCAGTAATCAAGTAGACCAAATTCTACCCTCAGGTACACACAGAGCTCCCACTAAAGTAATCAGGCATTGCAGACATGTATCCACAAGCAGAATTTTTCTCGGTGGGAAGTAAAACCACAGGTATAAATTCAGCTAGGCAATCTGGTGTCTTAACAGGATGATAACCATTGCTTATGTAGCAATGACTTCAGGGCATACATTAATAGCGGTCCAGGGCATTGGTAATGGGATATAGAGCCCTATATCCCTGGGTTACTCATTGGAATGTTGATGTAGACTGATGTCACCAGCACAGAAATCCACCACAATAGGTGTAACTTTCTTTGGCAGTGTCAGCAAAAAAAATCAAAGACTGGAGGGGGAAGGGAGACTTCTCTCCTGTCTCACCCTGAGAATTGGCTCCTCTAGGTTAGGACTGAGACGCATAGGATGGGCTGTGGTAAGCTTGAAGTGTCACTGACTTTGTGGTATTTGTTCTGCTGCTAAACAGAGGACTTCACTTGCTCTATCTCTAGTACATCTTTCATGAGCATTACATTCACTAGAAGTATTCTGTTAGGAACAAAGGGACAAATTCTCCCTTCACTCTGTGCACAGGGGTTACCATGGACTAAAAGGGAATTGTGTGAGCATGCAAGGCAAAATTAGACCCAAAACTAGTAGCAGCAAAGCATACCTGCCTCTAAACAAACAACACAACTCTCCTTCAGCAGGACTGTGTCAACCCATAGATTTGTGCATTCCCTTTGCTTCTTCAGGGGCTCATTAATCTGGAACACTGAGCACGATCTAATGCTTGGTGTTCCAGTGCATAAGCCTTCAGATTTAAGTTACTGCTACCATGGGATTTGCTTTGCTCTCAACTAAACATGAACAGGAGAACAAGATTATAGAAGTCTATGGGATCAAAAATGCTCCTGAAAGAGGATTCTGGCTATTGATTGGTGTGACAGTGTCTATTGCTATTAAAGCTATTGTTAATGGATACATTAGAGTACATTGCAAGGTTATTTGTTTGCAAACACTGGTGGAAAAGCTCATGGGAGGGCTTATTAGGGCAGCAAAAACTGCATGGTTTCCCTCACAGAGTTTCCTCCCTGTTCTTCAATGGGGGGCAGAGTTCCCAGACTCAGATAAGCAGGGGGGTACAGACCTGGGGTCCCATTGAGCTCCGCAATGCACACATTCTGGAGTCCCTCTGAGTGCCTGATCCACACCCAATCGAACCAGAACTGCTATCGTTCCATTTCAGTAGAAGCCTCTGTGGTGAATTTCATCCAAAAAAACACTTAGAATGTGACCATGATCCCTATAAGACATGGCCTTTCCATACAGCAACCTTTATCGTAGTGGTACATATCAGTGTCCTTTAGAAAGTGCTGTTATTTCAGGAAACAAAAGCCTTTGTTCATTAATCTCTGTACCGATTGCAATAATTCATCCATTCTGGGGAAGAATTCCCTCTATCCTCCCCCCAAGGAATTTCAGATGGTTGGGTGAACTGGAAATTCTTTTTAAAACCCTTAGGAAAAGTGTATTAATTTTTTCAATCATAACTCGCACTCCCCTTCCCTCTGCACAACGATCTAGGGCTTTTTTTTTCCATCTAGGTTTTTATAAGGTCACCCATCACTGGGGTATCTGGGCATCTACAGGCACTTTGACCCTTCTCAGTTGCAAGTCCTGCCTTCTCCTTCTCTAGAAGAGACCCAATCTCCTCTTAGCTCCCTTAATTGCCCCGCAGTCCCCAGAACGCACCCACCTTGCCTAATCTGTTGCCAGCTCCCTCCCTGTTCTAGAACCATGCTGGTTCCCTCCCTGACCCTGGCAGATGCTATCTCAGCTAACCCAGCTCTTCCCTATGGTTCATTGCCCCATAATCAGCTTGAAAACTGGCAGAGGAGGTGGGAAAACTCTTTTCAGGGAAAACTCCAGAACCATCTCCCAGTTACTCAAATCCTCCCTGCTTCACAGATTGGAGACCTTCCATCTTTTAGAAACAGATGGCTTCCAAATATTTTCTACTCTAGAAAATGGCCAGTTTCCTAAGGGAGCCTTTCTCCAGGCTAAAACTTTGCATGCACGTTCTTGGCTCAGAACTGAATTGATTGTGCAAAGTATATAAATGTATATATTCCAAGTGATGCATGGGGAATTAGTGGAAAGCCTCCCACTGGCACTACCAGGAGCTGCTCTGCTAAGTTTCCACCTGCCACTTTTTAAACTGACACGGTTCATGTTGAAGATCCACTGATAGTTGTCTTCATACCAAAAATTGTACTAGTCCCTTTTGGATGCATTACAGTGTGCGGTGTGATAGGGAGTCTTTCTGGACCCTCCAGTTCTGTGCCAAAATGTACTGTGGTTTGATGTTTGAAGATTTTTTTTTTCTTCAGTGATTTCAGCTCCCACTGAAATGAGCTACATTTCAATGGTGCAGTAGTGAGAGAGAGAGCTGGCCTTTTCTTCAAAAACAAAAATCAAATTAAGGGCCCAGTCCTGCACACAACACCAAGTGAAGTCAATTGGGACCTGTCTTGTCAGTGTGTTATTGACATATGTACAGCTGTCATTAAATTGAACACACCTAAATTTCTATACAATATTGAGATTCCAGGTAGGGCTCAAGCCATACTAGACAAAAAAGCCATTTCCCTATATTATTGACTACAGGCCAAATCAATGCAAGTTGCAGATACTCAAGACTTCCTCAGGAGTCAGCTCTATATTAATAATAATACTTACATAGGACCAGATCCTGAAGTCGGTATGTGTTAAAACTGGCACTGAAGTCAATCGGTGTTCTGCGTGAATAAGGGTGGAGTAAAAGCTGAATAAGGACTTTGGGATTTGGCCCATGGTGTCTTTAATCTGAGAATCTCAAAATGCTTTACAAACATTACCGGCCTGATATTGCTGCTCTTACTCCTGCTTAATACCTTATCCCAGAAATAGTCCCATTGAAATTAATAGGACGAAGGATGGAGTGCGCTGTATTCTCATTTCTAATATGCATGCACTCCTCCCATTGACTAGATAGTTGAGCTCTAGCAAATGTTAACTTTTCTATGTCAGTATAAATGTCTGCATTGCATCTGAGAGAGTGAATTTGTCTGAACACTTTTGGCTGGTGGCTGACGTCGGCCAGTCAACTTCCCATCATTTCTGCTGCTGTGTTTTCATTAAAACGTCTATTACCTTTCCCACTCACTGCGGTTATAGATTTTTTTTTCTTATCACATTTCTGAAGCAAACAAAGAAAACAACCTGAAATATCCAAGAAGAAACAAATTATGTTTAAAAATAGGGCAAGTTAGAAAACAGGGACACTCAGCCATACAAGGATGTGACCTTTATAAAACAGTCACATTAGAAAACCGCTCGTTCTTTAAATGGGCCTTAGTCATAACACCTCAGCCATGCGGGCAAGGATGGCTTAGTGATCTAAGGTTCAAATTAACTAGAGTCCTTCAAGCCACATAATCAAATCCCAGCAGCATTGACTGATCCTTTCATCACTCTGTGATGGATAAATTCAATACCATCTAGTTTACTGTTGTGGGGGAGGGGTATTGTTCAGGTGAGACCTTATCAAGTCTGGTCCTCTCTGCTCTACATGACCTTTAAACAGCACATACGTAGCGCTTCAAGTGCAGGGATTTGTCCCATTATCCTTAATTGAAAGTTCCCCTTTCTCCCGTTGTTGTGCAGTGAGCTGTGTGCCAGTTGGATGTTGCCCTGTGCCCCAGTGATGGCTGGATTTCAATGGTGCTGTAGGTCTCTAAATCATGAAGCACCTGAGAGTCTTCAGAATGAACGGTGCTACATAAAAGTAAAATAATTCATCTTATCAGAGAGCCCAAGCTAAGTAGGGTCAAGGCTGGCTAGACCTCCAATAAAACATGTGCTTCAGAAGGCAGTGGTGGTGGGTCAGAAGGTGACTTTTCCCCTCTGAGTCCCTGAACCAATGCCCTAGCCTGGTGTTTGAGAGCACTGTGCTATGGGTGGTGACATCTTTCAGATGAGTCATAAAGCCGAGGTCCTGACCCCTTGTGGTCATTAAAGAACTGATGGCACATTACACAAGAGTAGGTTAGAGCTGTCAACCTCAGGGTCTTGGCCAAACTCCAAATTAGTAATTATATTGTGCCTACCAAAATTCCTCTTGTGTATTTCAAGTAGGTATGTTATTCACTTCCTGTCCTAAATGTTTGTGTACCGTTGCAGTGTACTGTTGTAAGCACCTGCCTTTCACCCTAGCATTTGCTTGTATGTCAGTGGTAGATGAAGACATTTGTGTGAGAGAGAGAGAATTATGCATATAATAAGTCAAACTCCCACCCTACATTGCATGGATGCAACTACACAGCAAAGTATGATACTTTCCTAGTGCTCTTTTCAGCACTGTGTGGAGGGCCTGGCTAATGTGTCTCCTGGTACTTTATGGCCCCAAGGTGATGTGGTCAGGACCCATGCGCCCCTCTATACTGTGTCCTGCATCACATAATAGAGAGGTCTGGATCTTGCTCGTTTTAGAGCAGCATTATGGTGTTCTGAAAAGAGTTCCCTCAGCCTCTTTGCACTAATGAGATGGCTACTGGACTATACTTCAGTCCAGCTCATCTGCAAGCTTTGCCCTTGTAATACCACCTGCACAGAATGAGTCTACTCAGAGCAAGATTTTGAATCTGTAAAGCATTTTAAGACCCTCTGGGACAAAAGATGCTTTATAAAATCAGATATTCTGTATCTGAACAGTTCATGTTCTGCATCTTCTGTTTTTTACATGTGAAATGTTTTTGTTTTTTTATTTGTG